AATTTTAAATTTTTTGTAGAGATGGGGTCTGGCTATGTTGCTCAGGCTGGTCTCAAACTCCTGGCCTCAAGTGATCCTCTCACCTTGGCCACCCAAAGTGCTAGGATTACAGGCGCGAGCCACTGCACCTGGCCCCAAACCATATTTTATCCAGCTTTTCAAGCCATTCAAACCGTCATCCAGCTGATCTGAGAAATGTGAAGTTATTTTTTGCCTTAAGGAAAATTGAACTGCCTTTGAAACTTTGCCCTTCTGGTCCTTCAGTTAGCGAAATTTATGTCTAACTTTTCGTGTGGTGGTTCTCCACCCTTTTTGCTATGCCAGTGTCATGTTTGGGAGAAGCGAATGGTCTGAAAAGTGGATTCTGATATGTCCTTCCATCCTTACTCCCAGTTGCAGGGCTGAAAGTCAGACATTACAAATACTTAAGTGGGCAGGAAAAACATCTGAGAAGGGTCCCTCACCCACCCCACAGGCTTCTACAGGTGCCCTTCCATTTCCTTCACGTATATACTACTGTAAGGGAGACAGAAATGGGGTTTACAACTCATACTAGATGTCCTAGGTAAATCCCAGCTTAAATATCCACAAAAGTTATGCTAATCATCGACAGTTGAGCAAATCACCTTGGAAATGCAGGTTCCTCCCCCCAAAGTAACAAGAAGAGGGTGGCAATTGCATAACGAACACAAACACACAAGGAAGGTGCTACCTGTCCTAGAAAGAGTGCCTGGATCTGAGGAATCATGGGGGCGAGGGCAGAGACCCCTTTTTCCCCTGTGGCAAAACCAACTGTTTTGAAAACCAAGTCCAGCAAGCCATCACCTGTAGTCCGAGCTACTTGGGAGGCTGAGGGGGAGGATCCCTCGAGTGCAAGAGTTCTAGCAGTGAGCTATGATCACACCTGTGAAACAGCCACCTCACTCCAGCCTGGGCAACACACGGTCTTAAAAAAAAAAAAAAAAAGTCTGGGATTCAGGGCCTTGCTGACTTGCTGAGGTGGAGTATTTAATCGTGTACTCCCGTATGACTGACTTCTTTACTCAATTTCCTACAGAAATTGAGTTTTGAGTATCTAAGTTTGAATTTGGCCTTCACTGAGACACAAGCCAGAAGCATTAGTACGGAAGTTCAGTTTTCTAACAGTCATCCAAAACCATATGCCTAGCAGGTAGCACAGAGCTTGGCACAGCAAACATCTGTTGAACGATCAGAGAAGTCGTCTTTAGGGCAAATACCTTTTAAATAAAATTTAACTTTAAAATCTGGTTTGTCTAGTTTGCTAAGAGTGTTAACAGAGTAATGTGACCCTTTTCTGGGTAATTAATTACCCTCCTGTATCCTGTTACTAGGGTGTTCTGTTGTACATATCCCGTTGTAAGCATTTGGGATACAAAGTACAAATCAATGCAGTGTGTAAACATGGTTACCCTTCTTGATAACCAAGAGACAAACTTTCCAGGTTAGCACACAACAGAAAAACTTCCCATCACACATTATTAGTCCAATCCAACTTTTGGGTAATTCATAGAGTATTATAACACTAAAAATCTTTAATGTACTAAAACTTTACAAATTTTAGATAAATATGGCAATGTGAGACAAAGCAAAAAAATACATTGAAAAGACTATAAAAAGGACAGCATACCCACCTTTTGAACTTCAATACACCGCTACTTACACTTGTCGTGTTGTAGCCCTTGCCGTGTAGAGACTCACAGTCCATATTTATTCCTCTTTCCATCCATGTATTTAGTTGGACTTTCATCCATCCACTGTCATTTATAGAGTTGTGAATCATAAACCTTAAAGTCCATGGCTTCTAGGAAAATATAATTGATTTCTCCTTTTCATTTTGAGGATTTCATTGCTCAACACCAAGGTAGGGCTGGCAAATGTGAGGCCCCTACCATAGCTCTGCCCTCCAGACCCCTGACAGAGATGTTACAGGACCAGATCACTCTTCCCCACTCAGCCCTGACCACCCCCAGAAATCCATCTCCTCCCAGCCAACAGCCACTGCAACTGATCGAGCCGCCATAGCAGAAGAAAACGTGCACCCCCCCCCCGCTCTACCTGGAGACAGAAAGGGGGTTCTGAGCCCTCCGAGGCTCTGCAATATGACCAAGTCATCAGCTAAGGAAGGCATGCATTCTCCCTCAACTTCTCATTTTATGACTCTTATATTGTCACCCTTCATAGAGCTGATCATAGACTTTTTCAAATCATTACAAACTCAATATTCTTTAAAAACTTTGATGCTGTGACAGTGCAAACAGCATTCATTTTATTGCTCAACTTCAGCATGGGCACATACATAGTTAATTTTTAAAAACCATTTATACAGATGTTATTGATAAAGCTCATGTAACAACCAAGTGAAAATACAAAGAATATCAAAGCTAAAACACTCTGTAATAAATACCAATACAATGAAAATGATAAAACTTTGTTTTTAAAGTCAGTTTGAGAGAAAGAAGAATATTACATAAAGTGAACTAATTACATCTAGAAATAAAACAACTCAGCATTTGGTACAATCATCATCCTAACGTAAGAATGTTAAATACCACAAATGGCACCCGTGGACTGTATGCTGCAACTGAAAAACAGAAGGAGGGGCTGCTCTAACAAACCGTACAGATGGCTGGAACCACCTCTAACTCCCACCAATGCAATCAGTCCAATGCACCGGAAGTTCAAAGCAGATTTAGTGTTGTAAAATAAAGCGAATTACACTGTATTTAAAAGAAGAGAAACTTGTGCTCTGGACTGTAAATACAAGAAAGAAAAAAAGACTTGGTAAAAATAAACTCATCCAGGGCAACAAACTATGTGCAAAACAAAATGTACATTATACACAGCACTATTTAAAAATTCTTTACATCAAGAAATAAGGCCCTCGGAGACAAAACTCACCTCTGTACTGCATAACTGAGCATTCGTGATGGAAAGGCAAATAGCATGGAAAGGTGACATCACATATCTGAAATAACACAACTAGAGGAAGGGTAAGAAAAAACCCAGCTAAGAAGGACATGTGGAAATAAATATTCACATTAAACATGAGGTGCAAGTCCTAGGTTCAATGACACATTGGGGGTTTTTGTTTGCTTAGCACCTATTTGGAAGTAATCAGGTAATGTAACATTGAAATTAAAATCTAAATCATGTTTTGATAAAGCATGTTGGTGATACCATAGACTACTATGGAGGGTAATTTTTTTTCTTTTAAAGCTCTATTAAGTTATTAGTATAAAGTTAAAAAGGCACTCAAAAAGCGATGGTATTTGCCTGCTTTATATTGTATATTGGAACAAGTGATAGTAGCATTTTATTATTACTGCATCCCTGTCAGTTATGATTTCTATAAAGTGTTCATCATGTGCTTACTTTTTACTGAGAGGTTTTAAGAGTAGGCACAACTATAAACTGCACTAAGTGCTTTAATATAAAAGAGATGGACCTGCAACCAATAAGGGACCATCATGACAGCTGAAAATCACTGATAAGCAAATAGCATGGAAACCATTTCTGTACATTTCAAGATGTTCTTCGGTACTACAAAGAATGCAGTAGAAAAACACAAAGTGTTTGGGGAGAAAAAGGTTGGCATAAGCATATTACCACTGCACAGTTATGACTATGACTAGCTTACCTGCAGCAAATTTGGCCAAATGAAATACGTTAAAATACTTAGAAACTACACAAATAGTTCTCAACGTTTTTCAAAGCAGCAAAATCTCCACTTCTTTTATCCTACGCATTCCTCCCCTGCCCCCCATAACCCATGAAAGCTTACTTGGAATTACAATATATAAAAGAGAAAAACTGGAGCTGCTCTGGGTAAAGGGGGATGGAGATGGGGAATTAGAGGCCCCTACTGAATACCAACTATACCTTCCTCCTCCCCGACATCTTCTCTTTACACTATTATTCCTGAGGCACCCTGAGGAACCCTTTGGCACCAAGCACAGACTGAAACCCCCTCCATCACATGAAACAGAACACAAAGGACCTATTCACTTCATAATTAAGCTGCAAAATTTAAAGTTATCAAAATCTGCTATTCTTGATTATTTTATATCAATTGTTCTAAAAAAGAATAGTTCATATTTTTTATGGTCGAATTTAAAAATCCACCTGTGATTTCAGATTTTTCCAATCCTTCACCCCAGAGTTTTGGTTGCTTTCTGGATCATGCAACATGCCATACACCTTGAAAGCTAGATCTGGACATTTCAAAATCAGGTGCAGATCTTCAACACCAAGGGAACTGGATTCCCTTACTTCCAAAATTAACTCTTCAGTTTTAAAGTAATTGACACCAAAGAGTTAGAATCATTGTTTCTTTAATAATCACATCCCTACCTAGGCGTCCCCCCCCACCACCAATTCTGGTAGGTAAAGCAGGGTTTTCCACATACTAAATAATCTTTAGAACTAAATTTTTCCTTTTTCATAATTTTAGCCAAATAAAATTATGAGCAGCTAAACAAAGCTTTAGGATGGTTTACTTGATGGAAACTTACACTGTAATTAAAATATAAATTAGGTGCACTTGTCAGAGACTTTGGTTTATAGGAATAGTATATATATGTTAAAGATAAGCTGACCCAACAAGGAATGAAAATCCATCCCATCCACGTGCTCTGAGAAGCTATAAAAATGCAGTATTTTAAGATGAAAGTAAGTCCAAAATACCTAATCATATTGATTCAAGATAAAAACATTAGGTTTTTTAAAAAAGTCTCTTAAAAACAGGGAGCCCCTGAACACATATTGTAGCAAATAAACTACTAAGTTTAGATTAAGTGGCTGCATCAGGAATTTGACAACTAAAATTACATAGCTGTATTCCAGGAAATTCATGCTTGAAAAATATAAAAGACCCACTTAGGCTAGGCTGAAATGTATAATGCAAAATATAATGCTCTGCTATAGAAAAACATAAACATGTAAATGGCTTAATTTCTCAAAGATATTCTTTCAGCCAATTGTTTACAAAGGTAGAATAATTCAAAGTAATTTTATTTATTTTATTTTATTACAAAGAGCAAGTACAGGAGCTGTTCAAAATCATGTATTCAATCAAAATGAAATGTGACTTGTACCGACTGCTGAAGTTGTCTTGATGTTTGAGAGACTTGAAATCGGTGAAGCGATTTGAATAGATTACCTTTTATAAAAATAGTAGTAGTCTTTAAGTGTAGAATACTGCCTAACTCTGGAAATGCAGGAAAAGTCAGCATTCTTTAGGTTCAAGATATTAATTTTAAATAGCAGCTGAATGTGGCCTCATGGCAAAGCATAAAGACCTTTTTTCCTTGAAAAGGAATTTCAAAATTGTCCTTTCCCCTCACAGTGTCCTAAAATTAAAAGGGGGGGGGGTGTTCCTGTATTTCAGCATTCTTTGGAACTCTGCTGAAGGAGGCTGTCAGTCAGGGGTATAAATAGAGTCCCAGGTGGATCTTTGAAGCCCGTCATTCCACAGCGAATCCACATGTTTCTTCAATGGCTGTTAGCAGCTTTTCATACAGCTTTTCATAGCTTTCATAGGGCGGAATGTCTATTCGATTGAAGCTGTGAATAAGCAAATCCAATTTCAGCTCATCCAAAATCAGTAAACTGGCCTAGCAAGTATATACCAACATAGCCACATCACTCTTTGTGTCACACAGAAAATTAAAAGGTTGCTATTTCTCTAAAGTAGAGATGACCACTTTGAGGCTTTATGACCAATTTCTAAATAGTCTTAACTTTTAAATCACTTAAAAGGGTTGCTTATCATTACTTTTAAAGCTCCATTTACTAGTATGCATGATGAATGAAAAGTCCAATCTGTTTGGAACTAATATCTATGTACATGGAATGGGGAAAAAGGCTACAAAAGTAACTTACCAAGTATGGGCTTTCGGCAGGTTGTTGGTGCAGGCGTCAATCTGGTGTATGGTGAAGAGCCGTGGGCCTGCAGCACCTGCAAATGAAGGAAATGTGTGTCAGATCCCTGCAGGTGCATGTATTAGACTCCAAAAATCTTAGAATAAAACTGGTACATAAACCACAGGGTCTAGGGATAGGGCAATGCTGGTAAATCCACACATGCTACCAAATGGCAGCGGGAAAATAATCTGGGTTTTGAAAACTGGAATTCACCTTGGATAAGGCTGGATTCCTTAATATGCTAGTATTTCAATTTGAGAAAAAATTCAGGATTGAAATTCCTTTACCAACTTCTATCTTTTATAGAAAATCAATATCCCAAAAGCACTGAGAAGTAATTGGGCAAATCCAAAATAAAATACATATGTACATATTGAGAAAGATGACAACCTAATGCAAATTTAGATTTCATGTCTCAAACTGGGCTGAGAGCAAAAGATGGGCAGCCTATAGAATGAGCTTCAGTTACCATAGACACCACATATAATACAAATACATGTAGGGGAAATACAACTTCACTGTATGTATCTGGGCAGTCTGATGACGACGAGCTCTCTGAACAGGGAAGATAAGCGCAACTCGAATAGGCTTTCCTGTGGACTTGCAATGAGTGCACCATGGGCAGCACTGTTGAGTTATGTACCAGTCTTGCCCTGTACATCCTCACTCATCACCACTGGCAGTAGTTCGAAAATGAAGGGCTTAAGAGGTAGAGGGAGCAACTGCCACCCGGTGAAGCACAATGATCATCAGCAATAATACCAACTCATCCAAAAATTAACCAGCTTGTTCCACAGAAAACAATTCTTCAAAATGGAATATGGTTGTAAATAAATGGTCTGATGCCATGCAATAATTATAGTGCTCTGACCAAACAGATGGCGTCCATGACTCATGCTGCCTCTTTCCAACAAAAGAAAGATTCAGAAAGTGGACGGGAGAGGCATCCCAGGTGGGTGAATGTTTTGCCAGGTTGAGATGAACATGGAAGTAGACCTCCCCTACAGGAATGTGCAGCAGCATTAAAAGCAAGGTGACCAAAAAACGAAAGGCAGAGCATCAGCACGTACGTCTCTAGCATGCGGCACTCACTACAATCACAGAGAACCCCGCAGAAAAGGCTCTTGGGAGGGAAACAAGAGAAAGGAAGGAGAAGGTATCACAATGTGAGAGTTACAGGTAAGAAAGAGTGAAAAGAGAATCTGTTTATAAGCATATGGTTTATAAAATATCTATTAATATATAAACTGAACATTGACATCCCCCCACCTCCACCCGATCTGAGCCTGTCTGTCCCTCAGGCTTTTTACCTTGTAAGGCTTTGAAGCCCTGCAGAGGCACTCTAGAGGATCCTGTCACAAACTGAAGTAATCGTGCTCGTCGCTCTTCATCAAAAAACTCCACAGCTTTCCAGAACCACTTGACCACATTGCTGTCTGGCGTACAGTGTTTTAACCGGGTGTTTACCTTCCAGTCATTGACATCTATCTTTCCAAGTCCACAAATAATAAGCTGTTAAAATATTGCAGAGTAATGAACCAGTGGAAATCAAAGCCATGCCAAAAATTCCTAAAAAGGGAACTTTAGATTTGCATTGTTCGTTCTCATTTAGTGGTTCTTAATCAAAGGTGCACAAAAGAATCATCTGGAAAGTTTTTCAAAATATACACATCAGGTCCTATGCTCAGAGGTTTAATCATGTGCATTTGGGGTGGCAGTCAGGATCTGTATTTTAAAAAGCTTCAGAGGTATCTACACACAGGAGGTTCCCTCCCCGGGATCTGAGAACCACTACTATGACAGATTTGACAAGACGGAAAAATTGTGAAAGTTCCCTAATTTCATGACAGAATTCTAAAATTTTTTAAGAAATGGACAAAAATTGAGACCCAAAGAGTAAATATAGTTATATGTGCCTTCCTCAGACCCGAATCATATTATCCTAGTTTCAACACTTAGTAACTTTGTGATTTGGAACAATTCAGTTCACCTCCCCTGCTAGCAGTTTCCTCTGCTATAATATGGCAGTAACATCTTTCACTATGTCCTGTGAAAGCAACCAACAGTGCATAGCAACTCAAGAAATGTGCGTTAAACAAGTGATTAATACAATTTGCTTAATAATCTTAAGATGATATTGAAGCACAAAATACATGCACACACTGACACAGAGCTCTGCTTGACATTATGATGCAAGGTCAGTATAGACAAACTACATCAAAATCATTTTGATACTATTAATGCTCACATCTCCCTAGAGTCCAAGATTAATATAACATGTGTATAATGTGAATTATGATAATATGCAGTATAAAAGATAACTTGCAAATCCTAGATTTTATAAAATTAATCCTGTTAATCCAGTATAACACTAAAATAAATGATATACACATGCTTTTTTAAAGTTTGATGATTTCATTAGCGGTAGAAACTATATAGTAAATCTTAACGCTACTGAATAAAATCTCCAGCAAAGCTGCTATAGGATTCTGAAAAGATCACTGAATTGACGCCACACCGAACAGGGAAAAGGTTATCCAAAAAGAATTATGGATGTATTTAATAACACAAAAGACACCTTTTAAATTTTCTTCAGAGAAGTGGCAATTATAAGGCCAAATTCCTCATTCACTGTATCGATGAAAATGTATTACATCTCAACTTTATTGCCATTTCTGCTATGTTTTCCTCCTCCTGACTACTTCCTTCTGGCCATTTCACTATGAATAATTCAATCACAAAAGGAATGGAGACAGTAATGAATCAAACCAATCTTTTTAGGTTTATTTGCTAACAGGACTGTTAAGAGATTTAGCTAGAAAGGACACTAAAGTTAATGAATATCCTGGAGTCTGAAGATGGAAAATATTAGAAATAAAAGAAAAAAAACAAAGTTAATGAGTAAAATCACGTTTTAAACAATTTGTAGACTTTAAACATTTATGCTATCCCTAAACACTAAATCAATCTGGGACCTTTGGTAGAATAAAACCTCATTATTTTTTCAAACTAGTTGAGTAGAAAATTAAGATGTATTTGTTAAAGGTCTTAATTATAAAACCAGACCTGAGGCACTTTAAGGGCCATCTTTAAAAGGAAACGAAAAATTTAACCAGTACAGCTACTGTTAGTAAGGGACTGTATCTAAATATACAATTTATCCTTAGTGTTCTAATTATTTCCTCCATGATCTTATCTACCAAATGCTTTTTTCTTTTCTTTTTTGGAAGACAGTCTCACTCCATCACTGTGGGTAGAGGAGTGCAGTGGCATCACCATAGCTTACTGCAGCCTCAAATTCCTGGGCTGAAGGCATCCTCCCACCTCAGCCTCCCACAGGTGGGAGCCATCATGCCTGGCCAAATGTTCTCTTGCAAAGCTTAGTGTAAACCCAATTGAGAGGAGGCATTTAAATAAATTTCAATATGATAGAGATTAATGAGGTTTTATTTAACCAAATCAATAACTGCTAAATCAGAAGAGAAAATAACATTGGAAGTACATATAAGACATGAAATCTGTTTAAAACAATAAAAGGACAACATAGAAAAACAAATTAAGACTGTTCACAATATAAGAGAGATTGCTCACTCGGAGAGATTCCAAAGCATGAAAGGCTTTTCCTGTGAATAAGAATTCTCATAACACTGAACCATGAAAGTTCAAAAGCACCAGAAATATAATTTTCCTCTAAG